ATGGCAGCACAGCCCTCTGGAGTGTCAGCCATTCCTCCTTTGTCCTACTTTGGCCAACTGAGGCAATTACAGTGTTTCTACGTCCCAGGCCTCTACATCTCCCCCATTTTCTTTAAAAACAAGTACAACTGTTCTAGTGACAAATCCTTGCAAGCAGTGAATAATACAAGGAATAAGCAAAAGCAACATAATCAAAGGCATTAACAGCATTAGCAAATTCTTAAGCAACCCTCCTATCCAACCTCCCAATACTAAATTGCTCAGCCATCCTGAAAATGGGTCAGAGGAAACGGATATCCTCTTCATGTTCTGCTGTAAATCGGCCAGCTGTTGATGAATGCTAGAAGAATGATCAGACAAGTTAAAACAACACATGCCTTCAAAATTCTGACACCCATGACCCTGTGCTAACAATAATAAGTCAATAGCAGTGCCATTCTGTAAGGTAGCATGTCTAATACTATCCACATCCTGCAATAGCTCTGATATCATTAAAGATGTCAGGTTAAACTGTTTTGCACTCCAGCATGCAAGGCGTTTGATGTTTTCTGCATTTACAGCTGTCGCACTTCCTGGTAAAAAGAAAGCTAAGGTAATTGCTCATTTTCTACCAATGACATCCCAATAAGGCAAGTGCAAAAAGGATCTCCTGGTGAAGTCATACTAAGACAAAAATCTTTCCAACCCATAGCATTAGCCCATGTCAACCAGACATTGGCTCACCTTGGCAACTTTAACGTTTCATGGTATTTCGCCCAAATGCACGTGATCATGACGGCAAATGTGACCAGCACCTTCGTTGCCATCGTTCCTTTTGTTGTTCCCATTCCTGATCCCTTACTTGCCAGCGTCTGGGTACTGCTACTCCGTGTCCACACTGCCTGCCTGTTATTTTATTATTTCTAATAATATCTTGTTTAGCTACAAGCTTTAATATGTTAAAAAGCAAAAATGCAGTTACTCTAGCTTCTAAACTCTCAGTTAAACTAATGGCATTAGCAAAAGCAAGATCTCTCCGCAAAACAAAAGCTTCCGTGTGGGGGAGCACACCCTCCACAGACTCCAATGGTCTCCCAGTAAAAGACCGCAACCAGTCCTCGTGCAAATATTCAAGGACTTTACGTTTACAGGTGATGCACAGCCAGTGGTATTCTACTTCCCTATTTCTAGTTACTTTCCACACCTCTTCATGACACAGTGCACACTGCACTCTAATCCAAGGTCAAGACCTTATACCATGTATCGAGGAAGATCGTGCTAGCTCCCTTTTTTGCTCCTCAGATATCACCTGGACTAACAGTGTCTGTTGTCTCTGTGGATCACCGATGCTACGCAACAAGACCATTCTCGGTAATTGATCAGCACTGGGATGTGCTTTCCGTAACCAGGGTTGCAGAGTTTTCCATACTCCTTTCTCCTTCCTCTGCCAAGCTTCTGGATCCAGATCATGAGTCATTAAGCCAGGGCTTTACCCATTTCGCGGGTATCCACTGCGGCTTTCCTTCACCTGTTGAGACACAAGCATAACCCCTACCCCAGGTCAGTAAATTTACTGGACCTTCCCACTTGTCTGTGTCAGGGTGGTAAATTTTTACCTGTACCTGCATTGTACTCAAATCTCTATTGTTCCCTCGGCCATGTGCAATGGCAGGAGGAATGAGAGGTTCCTGTTTTGGATTTAGCCAATTGAGTACAAAAAGTGTTTTGTGCAAAATGTCTTGGGGTGATGCCAATTCCTCCTGTTTTTTAATGATGTCTAGGTGATGTTTTAACGTGCGATGTGTGCGTTCCACAATCGCCTGTCCCATAGAGTTATAAGGAACTCCTCGGACGTGTTTTATTTGCCAGTCGGCCATAAATTGACTGACTATGCTAGAACGATATGCAGGCCCATTATCAGTTTTAATTTGCTCAGGCTTCCCTAGCACAGCAAAAGGCTGTAACCAATGTTTCTTTGCTGCAGACGCTGAAGTGGAATTCAAAGCTGTAGCCCAAATCACTCCCGAACATGTGTCTACAGTAACATGGAGATATTTCTGACAACCAAATTTCGGATATTCAGTAACATCCGTTTGCCGTATTTGTCTGGGTTGAAGTCCCTGGGGGTTTGCTCCTGTGGCTTGTATAACTGGTAATCGTGCACAATCTGGACAAGCAGCAGTAATTGCTTTTGCCTCAGTTTTCGATATCTGGAACTGTGCTTTCAGTGCTGCAGATGACTGATGGTAAAAGGCATGCGATTTCTGCACCTCTGCCAGCCTGCCTGGGGTGGCAGTATCTACGACGTTGGCAGAAACAAGGGCATCGGCTCGGGCATTACGCTCAACCAGACCTCCTGGCAAATTGGTATGAGTTCTTATGTGTGTTACAAAAAGAGGTTTACTCCTTTGTTGCAACACATGCCAGAGGTGTGTGAAAGCAGCAAACAACACAGAATTTGAAACATGACCTAAAAAGGATCGATTCATTCGCTTTACTACCTCTACAACGTACAGTTTAAACGTACTGTTTAAACAGTCATTTTCCTGCTGTTGTAAGGCAGCGATAACAGCTTGTAGTTCTAAAATCTGCACAGAGCCTTCTGAAACAAAACAGTGTGATTTCCACTCTCCTTCTTGGAGCCATACGTATCCAGCTTTCTTTGTTCTGCTACTGGCATCAGTAAAAACAGTTACACCATCCATAGGTCTCTTGACAACAATGGGCATAAGTTCTAGCGGGAGTGTGGTTTTAAATAAAGTGTGATGGATAGTGGTTATCAAGTTTTGCACCATGATTAAGCAATGCTATCGCCAGTTAGTCACTCTGTCAGCACAAGCGTGGAACATGATCGAGTTGAATGGGCAGAATAATCTTTTCTGGGCTTTGTCCAGGTATTTCAATCAGTCGTGTCGTCGCTTTTATTATGACTTGTGCTATTACCTCCCAACGTGTAATGATAGACTTTTTCCCACGACTTGCTACAAATACCCATTCCAGGATGTGTAAGGGATCTTTGCACTGCAATATCCACTGTCCCAAAATGCCTGCAACTTCGGTATCAGTATTGTAAATGTACAAGCAAATAGGCTCTTTGGGCTCTACTCTTGCAACTGTAATATTTGCAATTTTTGTTGAAATCTTTTGTAGAGCTTGTCTGGCTTGTGATGTTAGGGACTGGGGATCTTGCGGCTGCTTCCCATCTTTTAGCAGTTCAAAGAGTGGGGCAAGTCCTGTATTCGAGATACCACACACATTTCAAACGCACTGGATGTCTCCTACCAGTTTTTGCACATCATTCAGTGTCTTGATTTCTGTTCATAGGGTTAGTTATTGCGTTCAGATAACAGTTTCAGTGAGAACCATTCCAAGGTATTTCCATGGTGAGCTACGTTGAACTTTCTCAGGGGCAATAACCAGTCCCCATGTGGTTAACTGCTGAGTTAGTTCAGCAATGATGCTGTTGTCAATAGGCTCTCGATTGCAAAGAAGCAGATCATCCATGTAATGATATACTATCATGTGAGAGTACTTCTTTCGAAAAGGTGTTAGAGCCAGATCAACGTGCCACTGCATTCTGTTTTGCTGTGTTCAGTGCTTTCTTTGTCTTCTTGCTTCACTGCCAGGTTTCTTTTCCCAAGCGCTTAATCACAGAACCACAGAACGTTAGGGATTGGAAGGGACCTCAAAAGATCATCTAGTCCAATCCCCCTGCCGGAGCAGGAACGCCTAGATGAGGTTGCACAGGAAGGCGTCCAGGCGGGTTTTGAATGTCTCCAGAGAAGGAGACTCCACAACCTCTCTGGGCAGCCTGGTCCAGTGCTCTGTCACCCTCACTGAGAAGAAGTTTCTTCTCAAATTTAAGTGGAACCTCCTGTGTTCCAGCTTGTGCCCATTACCTCTTGTCCTATCAAGACAAGATGTCCTATTAATGTTGCTTCCGTATCACAACTGCATGCCTCCCATCATGTACCCTCACCCTGATCTTAACTACCCCCTTTGTTCTTTGTCCTACTTCGACCAACTGAAGCAGTTACAGTGTTTCTATGGCCCAGGCCTCTACAGTGAACCATGCAAGGACTGCGGGGACTGGAGAAGCTGTTGGTTGAGGGAGGCCATCCTGCATGAGCACTCAGCTGGGCACTGCAGGTTGTGAAAATCTGGTGGGCAGCGACAGCTGAATGTGGCCAAGGCTGGAGCAGGCAGCTGGACCACGAAGCTTGCAGGGGGTTCCTGGATGCTTCATGAGGAGCTGTGCTAGGCATTGACTGGACCTCAAACCACCGCACAGGCTTCTGCCCAGAGCTAAGAGTCAGCTCAGAGCCCAGCCTACTTGGAGATCTTGGCTTTGGAACGGACTTGTGGTCATCAGCTGTCATGTTGTTTATGATACTCTCTTTCCAAAGCATGCACAAGAAATAACACTTTGTAATATGACAGCTTAAATCATGTCTGACGGAGACTTTTGAGGCAGGGGGAGGAGAATTACTTAGTGTGAATGGGAGTATTAATAAGACAGAGAACAGGCTTTGTTTTCTGGGACTGGCCCTTGAAGATTATCATATTTAAAGAAGTTAGAAATTGAATCCTATTTCTTTTACCCTCACAGCGAAATGCAGAGCTACTTTTTCATGATTGCTGAAGTTGTAGTTTCCCTGACTTACTGCATGGGTCTGTGCCAAGACAGGCAGGAAGATGAATGTGGTAGCTGATCTTCCCATTCCTACTGTCCTCCTACTTGTGCCTGTACCCTTTTAATCCATGGAGCTCAACTGCACCACAAAAGGATCGTTTCACTTATAGCAGCTTATTTTACATTTAGGTTGTGCTAAAACATGAGAGATCAAAGTATCTTCAATAGCACCGGCAGAACTCATACGTAATGAAGCTCTTAAAGCTAACTTCGTAGCTCTAAGCTGACTTCCTTGCACAGGAATGGTCAGTGGATTGCTGGTTGTGACTATAGGATTGCGTTACAGAGTTACGATAACCCTGCTTGTAAGAACGCACCTTGGACTGGAATTGGCAGCTGCAAGGCTAGTGTGGGCTTTCAGCTGTGACCTACAACATAGAGTTAATTCTTAGTTGCTGTTTCACTGACTGACAATTCAGGTGCTGCCTGTATGAACAGCCAGCATTTTACACAATCCACAGAAAGTGCAGCAGGGAAGAAGAACTGGGAGTACTTTGCTGGTAAACTAACGGGCAACTCTCTCAGTTCTTTAAGATACTTTGTGTGTATGTATGTTACACTTTCTTTCTCACCCACTTGTTTCTATTCTAGCTCATTTTACAGATTTCAAACACAGTTTGATCTGGTTAGTTTAATTTGAAAGCTTCTATTAACTAAATCACAGTGGCATAATGAAAACTTCAAAACTTGAGTGACTGTGTCTCAAGTTTTGCCACAGGAATTGAAGTTTTGTCTATACATATGTGTTAAAACCAGATGATACAAGGACATTTTCATCCAAGCTCATTTGCACAGTGTCTGACAGACCTTCACTATTTGCTTGTTCACACTTGGCTTGTTCACACCATTTGCTCGTTCACAACATGTTCAGGAGCATAAGCAGTTAGGTCTTTTTTCTCCTCCTTGAAAATTCAAATGGCGCTGAGTCAGTTACCGCCTTCCATTTGCACAAATAACCTTGAGCAGATGCAGTTTGCCATCATCTGGACCCCCTCACCACCTCATCCACTGGCTCGTTGCAATTGGTTCTTTCTGTGAACATTAGACTCCTGTTGTTTTGCTTTCAACACAACACCTGAGCTCTGGCAGGGGCCAAGGTTGTTCAATATTCTGGGGCTAAGACAGGGAATTTCCTACCTCTGTTTTGCTTTTTTCAGCTCTGCTTGGTGGCTATGAACTAGCA